AAGAATTCCAAAGTTAAGAAGTTCTTTGAGTATTTCAGTTAGGGACGCGGTGAGATTGTGAGTTTCTTACGCTTGCTTAACTGTTTATGTGTTTTTCGAATGTGTTTAAAGTACAGTTTGCTTTTTCTCTTTAAAGTGAAAGTTAAAAGTTGAAAGTTAGAAGTTGAAACTTTGAAAGTTAAAGTTTGAAAGTGAAAGTTTTGTGAAAGTTATTAAAGTGAGAAGTATAAGAGCTTATACTTGCATCCTGTTTGTGTGCCTTTTATGTGGGTAAAGTTGTAGAATAGGTTTACGGTAGGCAAACGTTAGTGATTAGGTGCAGTTCTTGTAGTTTCGTAATGGTGCCGAGAAGAAACGTTTGGATTCGGAGCATTCATGGAATGGATCTTCCTGTCATCAGGGCACATCAGATTCAAGGGGACATGCAAAGCCAAAGCAAGAGAAAGGCTAAAGAAGACGCGAAGCAAGTAGAAAAGAAGTCAAGACTTAGCCATGAGGATCAAGTTAAGGGCTTTCAAAGGAACCATGACATGGTGGATGGGAATGATCGCCCAAGTCAAGGTCCAAGTGTAGTAAGGAAAAATCAGACTGGAGGAAGACACTGCCATTGCAAGAAGTGCGCGAAGGATCACCCAAGAACCAACTATAGAGGGGACCCGATTAGGTGCTTCAAGTGTGGAAAGGTTGGGCACCGAGCCTTTGAAGGTTATGCAAGCCAGAAAGGGAACGCCTTAAGTCCAGGACCTAATGAGAGTGGACGCCAACTGAAGAAAAGATCTTATAGAAACCAGTCTGGAAACAAGAATGACAAGGGTGGAAAAAGGGACATCATCGACAATAACAAGAACAAGGGAAGCGGGAAGGAAAACCAAGACCAAAGTAGTGGTAGTGGTAACCAGCTGATGTGTGGAGCTCAAGTGAATGTTGATGGCGTGGAGACAGGTACATTTCAGGTACAGGTACACTTTATTTTGTGTATGATCATTTGAGCTTTTCTTAGAAGTATGGCATGGGTTACTTCAGTGTCGTAGCGCACGCCTCGTACTCAAACATTGATTCGAGGCATTTTCTTAGCTTGAAAGGGGACCTTACGTTATTGAACCGAAAACCATCTTTCGGCTAACTTAGTCTCTTTCGTCTCTCGAGACCTAACAAAATTATAGTACATGAATATTCACCTATTGTCAATCAATTACCCTTTTGACCTGATCTTAGGCCCTTATTCACCCTCCGTAAACGAATTTTACACAAAAATCTTTTAATTTTTGAAATCATGTTTTATTCATTTCACCATTCTATTTTATTAGATTATAAGTTGGTAACTTAATTGATGGCAGCTGTATCTCCTATCCATTTCACTTCCGTGACACATTGAAGTTGGGAAAAGTTGATCTCTACTTCCGAGTTCCAACTCATAATTTGCACTCAACATGCTCGACAAAATGTCACATAGCTACCAAGAACCTACTAAGTATTGATCACACCGATAAACGTCTCTTATATCTCTGTGTATACACGTACATGTTTTGTCCATTTTCAGATCGGAGTAGGGGATGAGGATAGCAAACCTACAATGGGTGGAGGCAAAGGTATGCCAAGGGGCGCCTCCCCCCCCCCCCCCCCCCCCCAATTTTCTTTTAAAAAATATTAAATATAATATTAATTTTTAAAAAAAATATTATATAGAATATTAAAATTTTGTTGTTCATTCAAAATATTTGACCCCCCTCCCACTTAAATTAATCCTACAAGTTAAGTTATAAACTTCTTCATCTTCTCAACATCTCCTGTTGTCTCCCATTTCAAATTATGTATTCACTATATTGTTAACTCACATACAAATTGTTAAACCTCATTTAACCTGCCTACTAGTTTCTCTCTCTAGAACCATACATATATGCGGTATATACGCTATAACAAGATAATTTGTCATTAAAATCTATGCATATTTTTCAAGTTAATCTTTGTTTTAGTTTTTTTTTTTTTTTCTAACTACATGTTTGGTTAATTTTTGTTTCATATTATATTGTTTATTTTAAATAGTGATTTTGTTTTATTCTAAATAATGGATATGAAGGTGCATTTGTTTGGTTAATTATGCACATTATTTGTGGTTACGTGATAAATGTTGTATTTAATTTAACATGCATAATAATATAAAAATTGTGTAGTATATGTATTTAAGAAAACAATTGCTATTATGTTATGTTGTGAAGATGGTAGTTTTCAAGAAATAATCAATAGTCTTTTTAAAACACGCGTGAATGTTTTCATTTTTTCAACCGTACAAAGTAATGTGCATTGAAAAGCATATTACAAAATAATTTAATATAGATTCAATTATAAATTATTTATTCTAAACTTTATTAAATTTGTAATGTAATGACTATTTTGAAATATGTTAACTGAATATTAATGTATTTGATTTAGTATTTCAACCGTAGTTGACCCCGCACTACTCATTCCTGGCTCCGCCCCTGCCTAAAAGGTTCGTACTCTGCTCTTTGCCTCGTTTACTCTATCCTCTTGAATTGGTAATGTTAGTTTTATTTCCTGAATCTGAGATGGATGCGGGTATGTGTTTGTTGTTTAGTCCGTAATACTCATATTAGATCAGATCAGCACGTGCCTCCTTCATTAATGTAGAACACCAAGAAGATTCCTCCTCAGTTTGACTAGTCCTGTTGCTTTTATTATATCCTAAAATTCTTACAATCTATTAATTCATTTATTGGTTTCCTCATTTCCACTTCTATCTATACATAAACTATGTTAAGGTACTGACGATTGAAATTTTCGAAAATTTTAAAAATAAAAGGAGTTAATTTCAATTTTAATCCTAATATTAGTGTGGCATGATCATTTTTGTATTTAATGATATTTTAATTCTTTTTAAATTTTAGCCCTATGACCAGTTGAGCAACCGTTATGCTGTGCAACTGTGTGCACCATTGGTTGCAAAAACGACGTCGTTTAGACTAAAAACGCGCGTCCCACTTAAAAAAAATCAGTTTCGATTCCCGTCAACAGTATTATGTTGTACTCATTCATTCTGGATATTTAGTTCATTCATTCTGGATATTTAGACGAAAATCGAAACTGGTCTTTTTTTTTTTCCATTCATGCTGGATATTTAGTTCATTCATTCTGGATTTTTAGTTCATGCATTCTGGATATTTAGTTTATTCATTTTGGATATGTAGTTCAAATTATGCACAACATAATGCCATTGTCGGGAGTCGGAACTGGATTTTTTTTTAAGTGGGACGCGCGTTTTTAGTCAAAACGATGTCGTTTTTGCAAAGGATGCACAACATAATTTGCCCCAGTTAAGCTGTCCATGCGGGCTTTAATGATTTTGTCGACGGAAGACCAAAAATAGTCCTACCACAATAATACTATGACCAAAGGTGAATGTTCTAGAAAAGAATAACTAAAGCGGATTGTCACCTATAAATCTAGGACAAAATATAGAATTAATTCGAAATAAAAGTGTAGATTTGCAAAAGTGGTTAAGTAGCTAGCGGAGTATAATTCAATTATTTTTGTTAATATTTTAGTTTTTTTTTTTTATGGAAGTAAGTTGATGCTTCTCTGTTTAAAAAAAAAAATGATACCAAGTGGCTTGTGGCCCATTGATATCTGGTTGCTCTTTAATGTGAGTATTCCCTTCTTTTGTAATAATAATAAAAAAAAAAGTTGATGCTTCTCAACTATGACCATGAATTTTCCTAATTATCCAAACAAATACAAATGTTTACATACGAGCTTGTCCCTCTCTTTTTTGTTTTTAATTCCCTTAATTACTAAAATACCTACAACTTTGGCTCTCTCTTATCCTATCTTTCTTTTCAACAATAACTATTGTTGGGGTTACTCTAAGTAGATGAATTATAATTTGGTTACTCTTGTCAACACTCTAATTTTGTTTCAAAAAAAAAACACTCTAATTTATTTTTGCTGTGGTTTACATGTTATTACATAAAAATAAATTTATTCAGTGTATAATCTTAAATAGTAATTATAGATTTTTTGATTATCCCATTAAAATAAAAATATATCGACTAGTCAAATATTATGTAATATGATCATACATTTATTAACATTTCAAATGGGGATCACAAGATCGAAATATATTAATTTATAAAGAATTATGAGGATTTATTAAAAAAAAAAAATATCCACCAAAATGAAGATAGAATTATAGTTGTTTGGGTGCGGCAGAAGCACGCAACGTGAGGGCACGGCAAGAGAGGAGATGAGACGACTTTTTAAAGTGGGAAAAGTATGGTAGGGGTGAAAAAGCAAAACCAAAAGGAAAAAGGAGCCACTCAAATTATGCTATGCTATGCAGACTGCATGTGAGTGATGTGTACACTACAGCCACTTCCTCCGTCCCCTTAATAACTCCTCGAAAAATACTATATATGTATTCTCTATTGTTATTTTCACACATAAAATCTTAATATAAATATTCATATTGAGACCTACATGAGATAACTTATCATCAAAAGTAAATAGTAAGTTTAACTCCTGTGGTCTCCCCCTGGATCCCTGGGAGAGCGTCACTGTAGTGTACTGACAATGAATCTTTGAGTTCCATATATGGCGATAATAAAAGCAACGGTAATCTCAATAATTATTATCATACATTGTTGACCCCATCGCCATCTATCTCTCACACATTTTGCCAACTTATCTGGACAGACTGTTGGGAGGGTGTGGAGCAACACCAAATTATTAAATTTAGTGTTCAAAGCTACCTTTTATTACCTATTCCAAAAAAAAAAAAAAAAAAAAAAACTCCCTCTGATCACTTTGTGATAGTTCTGACTTCTGACAGACCCACCCCCGTCACTGTTGTCCTTTACACAACCCACCCAATCACAAATTCAAAACCAGAAGAAGAAGAAGATATATTGAAACGCATGCGCTTAGCTTCCACATTAATAAAAACTCCGCCCTCTCTCTCTTCCCTCAGCTCTGTCTGACTAACTCTTTCATTTAATTTGCAGTTGTATATATGTGTTTATAGCTATCTAGGTGCTTCTCAACAAGCCTAGATATAGATATAGATATATACTCCGTAGTAGTTGCTGCTGCAGATCAGAGTGCAGGCTACTAGTATAGAGAAATGGGAAAGAAGGGAGGATCCTCCTGGTTGACTGCTGTGAAAAGGGCTTTCAGGTCTCCTACTAAAGACCCACCTCAAAACAGAAATCACACAAATAATATTCAGCTTGAAGATAATGACGAAGAAAAGGTATAGTTACTTTTTTTTCTTTCAAAGTTTAGATCCATTATTTGGATGGTTTTTGTTTGAGGAGTCTGTGGTTCATATATAATTCATTCATGATATATATGCAGAAAAGGGAGAAGCGAAGGTGGCTTTTCCGGAAGGCAGCTAGCCATGAAAACGCTACTCCTACTCAACAAGGGATAGCTGTTCAGCTGCCTAAGCACACAAATAACGCAGATTCAGAAGAAGAAGAGCAGAGGCATAATAATAATAATAATAATAATAATAATAATGCCATTGCGGTGGCTGAAGCTGCCGTTGCCACTGCTCAGGCAGCCATGGAAGTTGCTCATCGTCTTGCCAACCCTTCTCCCATTTCTAGTAATGTTTATTATTATTATTATGCAACAAGGGACAGGGAACAACATCTTGCTGCCGTTATAATTCAAACTGCCTTCAGAGGATATCTGGTATGTTATGTATCTATCTATATATATAAATATATATATGCCGCCAATTCCATTCTCCACTGCATCTATCTGGATTGAAATTGAAATTGATTGAAGGCGAGGCGAGCTCTTAGCGCACTCAAAGGACTAGTAAAGTTGCAAGCTCTGGTAAGAGGTCACAATGTGAGGAAGCAAGCAAAGATGACACTGAGATGTATGCAAGCTCTGGTTCGAGTACAGTCTCGGATACTTCACCAGCGCATCACCCATTCCCATGAAGGAACCAGAAATTCAACTTTCAGTGACAACACCAACCCCATCTCCATCTGGGATAATCCCCCTCGTTATGTTCAACACTTTTCTGATAGGAGATCAATGGTAATTTCTAATTTCCTATACACATTTTCATTTTCTTACATTTTTGGGATACTGGGTGCTAGATTTGACCATTTACTAGTCTGGGTCTAACAATTCCCTAGCCATCAGACTTGGCATTTATCCATCTCTGTCCAACAATAACTGATTGTGCAGTTAAATTTGTGTGTTGTTATATACTATACAGTCTAGAGATGGAGGTAGTAGCATCCCAGATGATTGGGATGAACGCTCGCATACTATTGAGGAGGTTAAAGCAATGCTCCAGAGCAGAAAAGAAGCAGCTTTTAGGCGACAAACTAACTTATCATCCCAACAGGTTTAATTTTAATTTGTATCATTATATATATTCCATTCCTTAGTTTAATTTGGTGCTGTTATTAGTTTCTAATTTGAGCTACTCATCATATATATATATATATATATATATATATATATATATATATATATATATATATATATATTGTAGATGTGGAGAGGGGGTAAAAATCAGTCAATAGGCAGTGAGGATGAATTTGGGGAAAGGCAGCAGGAGAGATGGATGATGATGGGTGCAGCAGCAAAACCATGGGGGGATAATAATGTCAGGGAAAGACCTTCAACTGATCATCATCACATAATTGACAACGTTAAAACTGTCGAAATTGATACTTCACAACCTTACTCCTATCTGCCTCCTAGTAATCCCCGAAGATCAAATCATCAGCAGCAGCATCAAAGACCAAGTTCACCTCTTCATAGACCTCACCAATCCTTCCGCTCTCCCGCCACGCCTTCTCCTTCCCGAACAGCTCCTCCTATACACCTCCGCTCTGCCAGTCCCCGGTGTTCGAGAGAAGTAGAAAGAAACAGCTACCATTCGGCTCACACCCCCAGCCTAAGACCTAATAATAACCAGCAGCCTAGGGGTACTGCAAGTGTTGCTACAATAATAATGCCAAATTACATGGCTGCAACCGAGTCCGCTAAGGCCAGGATTCGTTCACAAAGTGCTCCCCGGCAGAGGCCATCGACCCCCGAGAGGGAGCGAATAGGAATAGGATCGGCCAAGAAACGCCTATCCTTCCCGGTTAACAATGCTGCAGGCGGTGAGGGTTATGGAATGGGAGGGTATTTGCATAACTTGAGGAGCCCGAGCTTCAAGAGCGTGGTGAGTGCATTTGGATATGAGCAGCAGTCTAACTATTCGTCTTGTTGCGGCACCGAGAGTGTTGGAGGTGGTGGTGGTGGTGGTGGTGAGGTTTCTCCTTGTACTAGTGACCTTAGAAGGTGGCTGAGATAATAAGGTAATAACAGATCACCAAAGGGTGAATGAAACATTTTCATTTTTCAACTTAAAGCTAGCTTAGCTAACTCTGATCTTCCTATATAGTAATATATATAGGTGTTTGGTACTAGAATTAGTATTCCTTAAGTTTCTTCAGTTTTGATGCTATTCATGGATTTGGCCTTGTCTCTTCTTCCTGCTGTTTAGATGTAGTGGATTGAGTGAGTTGTGTTAGTACCAAAATTAATATAAATATATTAGTTTAGTACATGATTTCTTTTGTTGGCATATGTTGGTTCATTAAATATTATATTAGTCTGCAAAGACCTTGTGATTCAATGGCACCAAGTTGTTCCTTCATAGGGGAAGTTGTGGGTTCGAGATTCAACATTTTCTTCATTGGTATTCAAGTAAGTTCGTTTGTTTTACTTAGGCGAAACCCCTTTGGCATGTATTAAGCTAGGGTAACTGTTGTTCATGGCTTGTTGGGATGTCCTTTCTTTTTCGACTCATGGACGGGGTCCCTAGCTGACTTTTTCTCAACCCATTGCTTCGTCATCATCTTCAATGGTCTAATATAACTAGCAGGATCAACTTGCTATGGTTTTAAGTACTGCACATCAGCATGCTTTGT